TACTTAAATATAGGTTACTGCAGACTGACAGATGAAAGTGGAGTAGCTCTATGTTTTTCTTCCTCCACTGGTTCCCTTATTGTTATTTCTCAGGAAGTTACTTAAAATTGTGTAGATTTCTTGGCACAGGGAGGTAAGTAACCTGCAATCTTAGAACACTTGTATCTTTTTCTTTCTATTTTTCTTTTCTTGCTACCTCTCTGGCCAGTGCTGTGCAAATAGTATAAGTAAATTTAAGTGTATTGATGTAAAATGGAACATAACAAATTACATGTGCAAGATATAAGCAGAGTGAGAAAGCTGAAATGATGAGGAATTGGTCTGTATCAGTGTTTAATAAGCTCCGTTTCTCAATCCACCTTGATGTTGCAGGAGGGCGCTATGATAATCACATTGTTTAAAACGCAGCAGCAGCTCAGCTCTTCCAGGCCAGGGAGTTAAATCAATCTGTGATTGCTGTTTCAAAGTTCATATGTTAGCTTAGGTAGTAATTGTCTCAGAATGTTCACAGCACCTTATGTTCTTACTGATGAGACTGTGACTATAACCACCTGCACCTCTTGATTACAGCTGGTTCTCCTTTCCTTTTCTAGAGGAATGAGGTGATGCCACTGAGGTAAATTAAATGTGGGTTGCCCTTTCAAAAGGTTTGGAAAAAAACCACTTTTATCACATGGTTGCTTTGGAACATACCAAATTATTGCTGAGAATGTAAGATGTAAGGAGGTTGATTCTTAATAGACCTCAGTGAACGCTAAGATGTACTGTATTGTGTGTGGCAAGCATGGTGTCGGACAACCTGTGGAGATGTGAAAATAGAAATTTTACTAAATTACAAAACAGGACTAAGGAAAAAATAGCATGCTGTGTTGCTGGTCTGGGTATAAGCAACAGCAGTGTTCCTTCTGCAGGGGTAACTGCTCTGGCTACATTTGTTAAAAGTAAGTGCAACCGGAAGGCTTTTGTTAAAACATTTTTAGCTTAAATTTCAAATAAATAAGGGGTTAGACTGCTTGGCTCAGGATACACAAAATTGATGTTTTATTTATTTAACAGGCAATTAATTAATTAGTAAGGGGCATGTACTTCATTTAGACAATGGCTCAAGGAGCCTGGAGAGGTGCTCACTTGGCACTAGTCTTTGGATATGGATCATGTTTAAAGTTTGTTTTACTGTGGAAGTCCATTGCTACAGTAGGTGTTTGCTAGCAAATATGTATGGATTACTCTGTAGGAGCGTGTTGAAATTTACTTGGCTTTATAAAAATTTGTCAGTGTTACAAAATGTGCACTAGCATAAGCATATAAGGTGTAAACTCTATGGCAGTCACAGCAAAAGAGTGGAACTTCTGAAATTGATGTAACTCCCTCATATCTGTAAAAAAAAACAAAACAGAAAAAACAAAGACTTATTTTAGGGTGTTTACTTAATTTTTTTTTTTAATTTTCTAAGGTCAGTTTCACTGTAATGAGTATGATGATGTGAGATCAAGATGGTTGGAACAAACAATAGAATCCTTCATCCCGGATCCTTTGATTAACTTAATAACAGTCTCTAAACTGGATGGTAGACAGATTGGAGATCTTAAACCTGAATTATATGACAAGGTAATGTTATTACTTATTAGCAAATGATATTTCTGCATTATGCTTCTTTTTCTTCCTATGCTGCTCTCTTTTTAATTTTCTTTTTTTTCGGGCCCCCCCAAAAATGTCTATCTATGACCTATCGAAGGGAACCAAGGTCATGTAGATGATTTGCAGAGCCTCAGGAATCACTTTATGAATCCTATTCTACATTTATTCATGTATTAGATGATGTTATCCTTGGTAGTGAATTCTGAAGACCTTGTAGCTGTGTTCTTTGCTTGATGTGTAATTAGGAAAGGGGGGAAACAAGTGAGAGCTATTCAGGTAGAGGGAAGTTTTAGAGCAGTAATTTCTTGTCTTTTCTTGCCCCCATAACTCCATAAAAACATCTCAAAATGATAATTAGATAATTTCTGCCCCTAAAAGGGAGAATAAAAAAGGTGTTTTAAGTGATTGCAAAAGTAAGTTGAGTAAGTTTTTGGCATACAGTGTTCAGAAAGTGAACTTTTCTTTATTGTGAATTGTCTTATTTGCTCTTATTTGTTGCATAGGTACTGGTTGATGCTCCTTGTTCAAATGACAGAAGTTGGCTATTCTCTTCTGATATTCAGCAAGCTACGCTTAGGCTAATACAAAGGAAGGAGTTATCTTCTTTACAATTCCAGCTGCTAAGGTGAGAAGTGCAAAGGAAAGCTATTAAAGGAACTTTTTATAATTAATAAAAATGACACGGTGTCAGTAACCAAAATCAGGTTTCACCACGTGAAAAGAATGTGAAGTATATGTTGGTGCAATTGCTGTTTAGAGTAAAGAGTTAATCTAGGTTAATGTGAATATGGAAATTTGTTTGGGGTAATATAAAGCAGTGAGGCCTAGGTCTTCTACTGCCATACTGCTCTACAGTCCTGTTAACTCGCTTATTCAAATATATGTCCATTTTCAGATGACTCGGAACAGTCTGCTACCATATCAAAATATTTTCAGTGGTGTTGTGGTTTAACCCGAGCCAGCAACTAGAACCATGCAGCTGCTCGCTCACTTTCCCCACCACTCCCCAGTAGGGTAGGGAGAAGAGGGAGAAAAGGAGGGGAAAGGGAAAAAACTTGTGGGTTGCAATAATGACAGTTTAATGGAACAATAACGGAAAAGGGAAATAAGAACAATAATTATAACAAAGGTAGAAGAATATACAAAATAATGTGATACAACACAAGCCACTCTCACCACCCACTGATCAGTTGCTCAGCACATCCTGACAAGTGATCGTATATTCCTGTCCCTGGCCAACCGCCATTTATACACGGATCATGACATCTGTGGTATGGAATATTCTGTTGGCCAGTTTGTTCTGTCTGTGCTCTCTCTCAGCTTCTATGGGAGGCTGGAAAAGTCCATGACTATTGTGAAATATCACCTGTCAACAATTAAAACAATATGGATTATCAGCATCATTCTCACGCCAAACCCAACAGCTACTAGAAAGAAAATGCCAGCTGAAACCAGGACAAATGGACACAGCTAAAGTGGTTTCAGATGTATTCCTCAGCTGAAGCAAAAACATGTGTACATTTTTTAATAGTTTTTTTTTTACCTATCTGTGAAAATAGTCTATAAACCTGCCAAGCTGGGCTCTCTTTCCCAGACTCCTTTTGCTGCTGCTGTTCTTGTTGTTCTTTCACAGAATTATCCCTTACGGTTCTTTGTTACAGACTTTTGATAACTGAGCTGGTACTAAGCATCACTTAGGTCGTTAGTTAATGGTGCCGCAGAATTTGCTTTCTGGGCTGTTTAAATGAAGCGATTGAGTCTACTATTGCATGTTCTTACATGCTGCCTGAATTTAAGACCCATTTGACTATTTGTAGCACAGAAAGACTACTGAGCATAATTAATAGGGTAAAAAAGTAAAAGAATACGGAGTTTGGTGAGGGAGCGAGGATTGTTTTTTCAAGAACATCCACCCAATAATCCAAATCAAGGTTGTCATGTATGACAGTTTTTATTGACACCGGCCATAGGCTAGCATGTGTGTTGCATTTCAAACTTCACCATTTTTCTTGCTGGGGAAAAAAAAAAGTGACTTCCCAATAATACCTTCTAGACTTGAATGTTTTTTGCAAAGTAACAGTCATTTCTGAAGTCCATCTGTCAAAGCAAATTGAGGGGAAAATAACATACTATAAAAAAGAAAAAGAAAGTTTTTATGGAAAGTTCCCATTGCAGCAGTTCAAGATAGTTTTGCACGACTTCCCGTTAAAAAAGGCCCAGCAGAAGCCTATGATTTATAACAGAAATATGAGTATCTTATTGCAGTAATGCATCATGTCACCCATTTCCTTTGAAGAAATCAATCACATTTAAAACACTGACCTGTTTCAGTTCTCTCTTTTCAATATTTGACATATGAAATCCAATTTGTGAACCCCTAGCAAAAGAAAGCATATATCATGCAGAAAAATTTTAAGAATTTACATAAATCACTCCAGATTGTAATCCTGAAGTAGAGAACTCATGACAGCAGGAGCCTTATTTTAAAAAAAAAAGTAGACGTTCCTGTCAGTCCAAATCAGATTTAATTGAATTATTCCTAAATCAAGATGAGAACTTTGCTTCTGTTGGAAGTGTACTTTACTATAGCAACAGCAATAAGAATTAGATTTGTAAGGACAAAGTATTTTTGATACGTAAGTTGCAGTAAAAGGATGGTAATTTCAGTTTTGTTGCTCAGTGTAGGTCTGAGTAGTTCTGTAAATTGACCAATCTGTTGTTATGTGCGCTGGATTTTGTTTTTGTCTTTTAACAGATTTTGGAGCATATGAAATAAATGGTTAGGTTAGCAGTTTTAGAGATTACAAGCTTTATCGGCTACACTATTTAACATAGTAAATGATGTAGCTGTCCACTGTATTTTTATTGTTTCTTTTATCCGATCACTTTAGAATGATCTTCCAATACTAATGACATCTCAGATCCTGTGTGAGAGGGAAAAACAAAATTATAAAATGAGACCAGGAAAGGCTAAATGATTCATGCAAGTGCATTGGAAATGTGGCAAAACTAAGATTGTGGAATGCTACCCTATTCAAGCCTTTGTTTTATGGCTAGGCTGCATAATATAAATAAAAACCCCTGAGTTTAAATCCTGTCACTGATACTTCAGTAATATTCAGGAAGGCTGAACCTACATTAATTCAGCTGTACTGCATTTTATGTGAGTCAGCTCATGCAAAGCTACCTGTGTCTTATCTGTTCAGATTACCTGGTGCTTTATGCTCATGGGCATTTCTCACCTTGGTTCCTGTATCTGTAAAACAAAAACAAGTATAAAGCTGTATCCCAGCGATTTTGTTGAGAGTAGTATAAGAAATGTTGTGTGATTTGAAGATGAAGCTTAAAGTATAAGGACTAAGTATTATTTTGGTTTAACAGTAGTATTAAGTATAAGGATAAAACACAATTGAGAAGAATAAAATGCAAAGAGGAGTTCTATTTCATTTCTATCAAGTGGTACTCAGCCCAAAATTTGGGATTCCCACTTTCTTAATTAAGGAAATGGTTCACTTGTGATCTTGTAATCTGTTTTTCTGGGTTTGGTCTTGTGCTTTTTCTTCGTTTGGTTTGGTTTTGGTTTTGGTTTTTTTAGCAGATCAACTTGGGGGGAAGCTGGGAACATCAGAGAGGAAATGAAGGAAGGAAAACTATTTTTTGCAATACAGTGTAACTTATTAAGTACATAAAGGCTTTAAAGAATGAAGATCTGAAAGAAGTATTGAAACTGATGCAACGATCTTCCTACTCCAGCCTGTATAAAATCTGAAATGTAAATAAGTGTCATAAATGCTGAACAGCAAATCTTATAAGCACTGAGGGCACCACTGATTTGAACAAAATTGAGATTGTAATGATTGTTAATAACAAAACCAAAGCATCCCCGCTGAGTGCTATAATCCAAGAACACAGTGCAAATCTTGTTATTATTTGGAGTGTTCATGCAGAAAACAAATTTCAAAGTAAGGAAGGAATGTTCATTTCCTGATGCTGAATGCTAGCACAAAATGCAGTGGTTCCCATAAGTAACTTTACCAATGTTATCTGTTTTCAGATAGAAATTAAATTTTGGGTTAAGCTCGAGTGCATAATACCTTAGTGGTGAAACTGTTACGGATGTTGTAATTATTCCTAGATCAGTTACTACAGCTGAAAGAAACTGCTGTAGGGTTCAGCTGAAAATAAATCCAACAGGATACAATTTAGAAAACACGGCAAAGGCATTCAGACTACTGTAACTCTTCTATACACAACATCTCTCAGTAATTAAACAGCTCTAATTGGTGTTTAATAGAGTTCTGGTCCACAGGAGCTTAGACTAACTTTAAAAGATACATACTGGCTGACTTGACTTTTTCACCTTTTTCTCCCTAGTAGTTAGCTACAAGGGAAATTGTTTTGAATGCCAAAGACATGCATACACAAAGTTAAGAGACTGGGGGGAATTCAGGGTGCATGAGAAGTCTGAAGGACCTTGAACATTCTGTGCTTTGGATTACTGGTGGCAATGACACCAAGCTGTGTGGAGAGGTCGACACACTGGAGGGAAAGGATGCTATCCAGAGGGACCTGGACAGGCTTCAGAGATGGGCCCATGCAGACCTCACGAAGTTCAACAAGGCCAAGTGCAAGGTCGTGCATGTGGGTCAGGGCAATCCCAAGCACAAATACAGGCTTGGCAGAGTATGGATTGAGAGCAGCCCTGAGGAGAAGGGCTTGGGGGTGTTGGTTGATGAGCCGGCAATATGTGCTCACAGCCCAGAAAGCCAACCGTGTCCTGGGCTGCATCAAAAGAAGTGTGGCCAGCAGGTCCAGGGAGGTGATTCTGCCACTCTGCTCCACTCTGGTGAGACCCCACCTGGAGTACTGTGTCCACCTCTGGGCCCCCAACATAACAAGGTCATGGACCTGTCAGAGAGACTCCAGAGGAGGCCCACGAAGATGATCAGAGGGCTGGAGCACCTCTGCTATGAGGACAGGCTGAGAGAGATGGGGTTGTTTGGCCTGGAGAAGAGAAGACTCCAGGGAGACCTTATAGGAGACTTCCAGTATCTGAAGGGGGTCTACAAGAAAGCTGGAGACGGACTTGTTACAAGGGCATGTAGTGATAGGATGAGGGGGAATGACTTCAAACTGGAAGAGGGGAGATTTACAATAGATAATAGGAAGAAATTTTTCACTTGGAGGGTGGTGTGGCACAGGAACAAATTGCCCAGAGAAGCTGGGGCTGCCCCATCCCTGGAGGTGTTCAAGGCCAGGCTGGATGGGGCTTTGAGCAACCTGGTCTAGTGGGAGGTGTCCCTGCCCATGGCAGGGGGGTTGGAACTGGCTGATCTTTAAGCTCCATTCCCACCAAAACCATTCTGTGGTTCTATGAAATAAGCCATGCAAAATGCTCATTTTCCTAGTTGATCTCTTTTGAGTTGTATGTATTCTCATTTTTCAAAACTCATGATGAAGCATTAAACTTGCATGGATAAATACAGGCAACGCTTTATACTTCCTAGTTAATGAAATGTTTCAATCCCTGTGTTGCTTATAATTATGCTTTTTAAGGAACTATGTCTGATTCTGTGTAACTTACATATCTCCTTTTACACACTCTATGCAAGTGGAGTGCAATAC